GTGAGAGAAAGAAGAGAGAGAGAGAGAGAGATAGAGATAGAGAGAGAGGGATAGCAGAGCGGCCGTAGCGTCAAAGCCGGGAATCGCAACGATCGCAGCTCCATCCGGGAGCTCCAGGTATGTAACATTGGAATTCTGTATTCCGGGCTTTTCACGACTTCCGGATGCGCCGCTTTCTGACCGAGCCGCCCGGCCCTTCGCCGTTAGCCGCCGAGAAAACCATCATGGCTACCGCCTAAGCCTACTCTGTCAAAATCTCTCCACTTGCCGTTATTTCGATCGCACGCTGCCCCGCCGGTTCTCCCGGCGACACAGCGCCGATTTCGTCGCGCGAGGGTGGTCCTGAGGAATACGTCGTTAAAACTACGCACTACCGGTGCCGACAAGTCCCCGCTTTACGTCGCGCAAAATCCGCTCTTATGTACACACAACGTCAAAAATGCCTTCCCGCTAAAGGCAGCTGCTTTCAGATCAAAATGTTACATCGAGCATTACATGTAGACTACTTGAGCATTATGATTGGTGGTTCAACATAGATGTCAGCGTTCTTTCGTGCAATATCTATCAATCCTATCATTTTAACGCTACATCAAACATTTGTAGAATTGTTAGATTGATAAATTCCGAAGAAACATTATTAATTTTATTGCGAAACAACAATCATAAAACATGAAAATCTAGAAGTAAGATTCGATGAGAAAGTTTGATCCGAAGGTAGTTGCGTAAAATATTTCTGACATTGGAAATACATGAATTTGCATACATACATGAAGTTGTATTAATTTTGAAGAACTCAAGACGTCCGCATCTTATTTAGCTATTCATGCATTATGACTCAGAACAGTTTGGCATCTCTAACCTGTTTTACATGTGTGAAAGGTTAAACGTAAAATTAAAATATTAATAATAGCTCACTCGATAGGTAAATTAATCAATAAACATATAGTTTTAGATTTTTATCAATAGCCGTGATGCGTGAAGATTCAGAAACGACGCGCACGCCCTGAGTTGTTCACAATTGATGTAACTTTATATGCATTGCGGTATTCTTCATCGCCAGGTGTACGATTATCATAACGTCACGTCGAATTCACCTTGTCTGTCGTAACGCTACATCGTGGCGCTACATTCATGACACCACTTTCTGCTCGCGTATTCGAGGGGAACGGTTTCACCGACGTCGATTAGCACGCTGCGGCCGTCAGTGAGTACGCCGGAAATAGATCGACCGTCGCGATTACGGCGCGAGTCTGGATGCATTATTGATGGAATCATTGATTGGGGCAGGCTTCCACAAGATTGGAGCCGACTCGCGATACATGTATTTCAAAGGTTTAAAAAAAGAGCATACCGGCTCGACTGCAATGAGTCAGAGCCGGTTCAAGAGCGATAACGAGACTCTTCCTGCGTATCCAGAGACTTTCCTCGTTGAAGGATTTTTATGAAGGATTTTTATGAAGGATTTTTATGAAGGATTTCAACTTGCCATCTCGTATGTTGTCTCATTTTTTTATACTTGTTAAATTGCTACAATCTTCATAAATTATTCGAAACAGCATTAATCTTTGAAAATTGGTGTTGATGCTAGTATTGCTGTCAATTGAAGAAATTATTCAAGGTTTCAATTTATGTAATCGAATAACTAATTCTCTGAAAACGAATCACACTTCATATTTTTATATTAAATTTAAAAAATCTTAAAGTTATTAAACGGTGTTATAATGTAGCTTGTATAACATATTCATGCCAAGAGGTACGATACGATTGAGCATCGATACTCTCGTCTTCAACGGGAATGTTTGCACGTCTGGACGCACCGGTTTTCCTTCGGCGAAGCTCGTGACGTTTGTTTGACGACGACTCGGGTTATCTCGCGGCGCACAATGCGCGTAACGCGAGTCGTCTTGCATAATATACGAGGCCCTCGTGAAAACAAAGTTCGCACCTCTTTGGTGCAACCCGCAAGCTAGATTTTCGTGTAGTAAGAAACGCGAACGTCATAACACAAAAGATCCATTGTTTTTCACAAGAGCTGAACGCATCGAAAGTATTCTGTTTGATTAAATTTTGCAGTGAAATTAGCAATGTCGATGTCGTTTAATTTGTTTACGTTAACGTAGGTAAGAATCAACTCGTAAGTAAGAATGCAAGATAGTTATAGCGTAACTAATTGGGTGTTTGTTTCACCGTGCTAAGATTAATTATAATAACTTGTAACTTCTATTGCATTTTTTGCGAGATATTAATTCTGAGAAAAAAACGTGATACAACGTAGTCTCTGAATTTTCTTACATAACGAACTGATTCTTAACATTTGATTTATATTAGCTTTAAATGTCATATTTATTGAACTTTATTTCATCAATCAATATTTTTTATAGCGCAAACGACTTCTCTAATTAAGGAAGTTTATATTAAGTCACATTTAAATAATTTAAATTAAATTACGTATTTGTTATTTTAACACATTTTTTTAAACCATTAATTATTTTGTTGTCTTTTTGACAGCACGGAAATTCCTGAAAACATTTCTTCGATGGAAGAATCATCAGGACAGATAATGTTTTCTTTCAGTAGCTGTTATCGCGAATTTTTAACGACCGTTTCTTTTACGTCCATCTGACTCATGTAAACTAGATGGGCGTAGGAAGCGATAACGAGAAGAAAGCGCGGCACGCGACTCACGATTTTTAAAAGAACTATCTCTAATATTCTTCGAATAATAATTCTTCAACGACATGTTCGTGGGCTAATGATTGCAATAAGCGGAGCCGAAAATAATAAATGGAAAGTTAGACGGGCAATAATAGATAGTCCGACGTCGCGCGTTATCAGGTGTCATGACGGGATTACTGGCGGCTTAGTTTGACGTAACAGACGAGAGAACACGTTAGGCGACGTCTCGGCGGGATAATGGAGAAAAAACTTCTTGCTACGCGTTATATTCCGCTTCGCGATTGGCCGACCAATTGTCGACCGCAGCTGTCTTAATCGGCTTTAATTGCTTCGGAATATAAAGTTGTCGCGCGCGCTGAAGACAAGTGGCGTCTTAAGCTCAATTGATAGCGTTCTACTCGAAACACGTTGGCGATGATATCTCTGTTATCGATACTCGGGCTGGACTAGGAATCAATTGCCGTGATAAATCACTCAAGTTTCTCAATTCTTACGAGAATCGCAGGAACGTTGCGTTTAACAAGAGAAAAGTCTCACGGGTGCTTCGCACAATCATGCTCATCAGCACACAATTACAGGTCACCTTATATTCTTTTACACGATTCGTAGAATCGTGAATTCTTCTTGGATAAATTAGCTCTTTTAATTCTAGATTCAGGTTTTAGCTTTTAATTACATTCCAGGACATTCCTAGGACGTCGTGTGAACAGTCTTTAGCAAATTTAATTAACTTCTATAATCTTGGAGTTCTATTTCACAAAAGTACAATGATCGTTTTGATTCGCGTGTGTATCTTTCGTATTGCAAAGGGAACATTGTACCCGGCTTGTGGCAATACTTGCGTAGGAAGTTAAACTGATCCGAAGTTGCTCTACTCGCGTGTGGTTTCCTATAATTTCATCGCGGCGGATAACGTCACGTGCACCGAACGGCGGCGGCTTTGTGCAGATGTATCTCTTCGATAGAAAACACCCGTCGGAGCCCCTTAATAGTGATCACGTTCTACGGAACGGTTAGTAGGTCGCGCTACTTAGCTAATGCGAAAGGGTCAACGTATTCGAGCTGGATGATGTGTCTCGCCGTTGAACCCCTCTTTGGTCACCCTACCGCCAGCCCTCTTCCCTCCCACATGCTCGCGTCCTGTTCCATCTCCCTGTGTCCTTTTCTCTTTATCTCCCTTTTGTTTTCTCTCTCTTTGCCCGCTGCCGAGATATCGTCCCTTCTGTTGGAGATAACTATTCAAACTAGACGGCGAAAAAATGAGTGGAGTAACATAAAATTGACTTCTTAGTTTAGCAGTTAATTTGTCAATTTCCTCTCTGCGGTAAAATTTAATTTAAATCGTGTGCTACTTGCACATTTTTACACGTGTCACATTAATACAAATTAGGAACAAAACTGGGACACTGCTGACTCTTGAAAAAAAAAAATTGTTTAGATGCACTTTATGCGGTAAACGATTCTTCTTGGCGCGTTTAATGACGTCATGCGACTGCGTTAAACTAGGACAGGGCTTAACACGAAGTTCTGCAGCGTATTCGGTTGCGATAAAACCACCGGGATGCGGTTATCGCCGGATTTAATCCGTCGTAAATTTGTGCAAATTCAACTGACAAGTTCTTTCTGCCTGCCCGATTAGTGGGAATTCTGCTCATCGCGAAAGTCGTCGGTCGGACTTTCTTCTCTCGTGACACTATTTTCATTCATAAAAGTAGCACCGGTGATTCCATTTTCTAGCGCAGAACCACGCTTGCTCAGCATAAATGCCGTTCATTGATGTCGAGGCTGTACGATCAATATTATATACCAGGCAGTGTATTGAATGTAATTTAACACGGTCCAGTTGCCTCGCATGCGACCAATCGGGAGTCCCACGCGCATTCATCTGCTGCTTTTTTTAATATAATCAAATTTTTTATCGTCCGCAAGAGTTGGTTCTCCTTGCGTGACGCGATGACACGTTTAAAAAAAGAGCATCCCAGTTAGATATTGCATTAGGTCCTAATATAGAAACGAGGACGTCTTCGGCTCCCTCAGTGTCTAGAAAATTAGCGGGCAACCAGTAACGCCACGCGGCCTGTTCCAGGTTGCTTTCTGACGTCATGACCTATCTCCTGACGTCATTCACCTGTACTCTTCTCTCTCCCTCTCTCTCTCCCTTTTCTCGCGTCTCGCCTGCACTGCGCCGTTTCTGTCCTCCGTGTAGGATTCGATGACTCAAGCCTGTATTTCATTTCTCTATCTCGCTATTTTGGTGCGACGGACAATGCTACTGAAAAAAACATGCTCGAAAAAAGCAAACGGGCGCTGGTCACATCTCACGCGAAGCCTTGATCGATCGATCGATCGATGCGCTTGCGTCACGATGTATTTTAAGACGTCGATGATTCCGTGCCAAAGTGAAACGTTCAGCTTTCTATGGTGTGAGTGTGAATTAACGAATCATGTAACGTGTAAAATTTAATTTCGAGAACGGATCACAGTTCCTCGGTATCTGTTATTAACTTTGATCTGTTGAGAGAAATCTGGTAGATTTTAGATGTTAAATACGGAGAGAAGTCAATTGAGTTATCACACAACGGCGAAGATCGGGTACCGTAAATTAAATTATAATTGACATTGGCTCGAGTAAAATTACGGCACAAAAGTTTGACAAGCTTGTTGCTAGCTTACCGGACATGAGGATGGCAAGCCATAGAACGATTACTCAAGTAGGCGGAACCGTTGGGTAGCTCCCTCGACAGGTGCGATGTCGACGAATCCGCCGGTCTGTCGACCAACTGTCGGCGCGCGTTCGCTGGCCACTTTTTATCCCAGTGCCCTAAAGAATCACTTGCCAAAGACATTGGCGGGATACGCATTCGATGTGGCATACTTGGCAGCTTCGCGGTTGTGTACAGCCGAACCGCGACACAGAGAGACCGGAGAAAACGAGAGAGCGAGAGAGCGAAATCGCGTTGGACGTTGACCCGCGCGGCTCAACTGTTGCTCCCATTCGCGCATCCGGGAGGCCGCCGAAGGGAGACGGCTTAGGGAATTCGATAATAGACGACTCTTCCGTTAGACTCGAGTGTTTGTCGCGCTTAATCCCGGGAACGTTTATCGATAAATTTCGTGACGCACGCAATTAAGAATCACTTTGGATTTTGCTGCGTTTTTATTGAAGATGCCTGTTGCTGTTGTCAGCAACGGATAGTCGACTCTCAAGTGGATAAAGCCTGGCTCTCTGAGTGTGTGAATTTAAGAACGATAGCAAAAAGTTATTAATGAGCGTCTAGTTTTAGGGTTGAATTGCACCGAAGCGTAAAGAATCGATCTTTGCTTTGCTTCAAGAGTTTTACAATTTTATCTGAATGAAAGTTGACTAATTGATAACAAATTTATAATGACGTTGCGATAATTGTTAGAACTCGGTTTATTATGAATAATTAGACGGGAGGTGATTCTTTTATACGTTTTTCTCTGCACCGCGAGAAAAACAATCGCTTCGCCATTCAAAGATCCGCGTTTGATCCGCCGTTGACTGTCGCTGACTGAGGCTTGGCACGATGCCATCTGTCAGCCACGATACAACGAGCTATTTTGAATGATAGTATCGATTTGGACCAGCTCTGCTTCCTGGATACGGTGATTGACCAATGTTGATTCAAGGCTAAACTACGTTCGTAATCGCAGCTTCGATTGTTATCACATCTCTGATCGCGCGATACGTCAGTCACAGCAGTTAGTATCATTATCAGTTATCTCTCGTCGCGACTGATCGTGCTTTATCCACAGCTTTCTTTAATTTTTTGTCATTTCTTCTAATAATGTAACGAGGTATTAAAATATTTATAATAATCACACATCTTTTTGATTCTGTTAAGTACATTGTGGCGATTGAGCAGGCAGTTTCGTCCTTTTTTTACGGATGATTATTGAGTTACTGATGATCGTTGCCGGCCGGCTTCAGCAACAGCAGCTCGAGGAGCAACCTGTCGTCCGGAACGACGACGGCGTCCTCTCGATGCCGGGTGATCGGGCCGTCGGTACGAGGGCGCCGTGGCGCCAGCGTCGTCTCTCCCACCTCCCGACAGTTCGTCCTCCCGGTCGGCCTTCTCTCGAAACCACGTCCTTCCTTGGGTGTGGTTCGAGAAGTCTCTTCCGTCGAGGAGTACGGACCGCGCGTTGTGCCGGCTCCCTCGTCCCGATCGCAAATCCGTGGCCGATTGACGCTCGTTTCTTCCGCGTCCGCGTACTTGTGCAGGATCTCTCCGTAGTGAGAGCAAGCGAATCAGACGTCGGTGCGAGAGAGTGAGCCGAAGGCGCATTGGGTGTGCGGGTTGGAAGAGAAAGAGAGAGAAAGAGTGACGGAACGGCGAGTGGGGCAAGCCGCACGACACGTTCATCGATTCGTCTCGCCGCTTCCACGGTCGTGTGCAGAACGCGGTGGAAAAGGCAAAAGCTCGCGTGCGTGCGTGTTCCCTTTGCGTGGTGTTCCCCGAAGTGTTTCTTGCGAAATCCACTGGTTCCGAAGTGGCACCAACGGCAGCAGAAATCCGGGAAAATAGGATCGAAATCGCGGGGTTGGTTTCGCCGGTTGGCTCGCAGCGACGGTGAGCTGAGCATCTCGAGATTTTCCGGCGTTTTTCCACTGCCGGAGGGCAGTTTTCCTCGCGCGATTCGCGTGTCGACGGGCGCAACCTGGCGGTGACGAGCGATAGCGCTTCTGACGGGGCTGTACGTCCGCTTCGACCCGGTGGTGCTGGTGGTGGTGGTGGTGGTGGCCCTATCGCGAGGAACAGGAGAGGTTATGCCGCCGCGGGCTCGATGACGCTCCTCTGACAGCAGTGGCGGTGACGGTGGGACGGAGCGAGTGAGTTTCATCGATGCGTGTGAACCTCCGCCTTTCCGCCTCGACGGCTTCGTAGGCGAGGACGTCGTCGCCTCTTCTTTTTTTTTTTTTTTTCTTTTTTTTGCTCGACGATCGAAGCCGCCGCGAGATTCTCGGCTGCTCGCTGTTAGTTAGCCGAGACAATGGCGTTCGGTGCCGGGGAAAAGCGGAAAAGCGATACTATGTGACGTCGTCCGCGTTCTCCCTCGTTGTCAATAGCGCCCTTTCTCATTATCGATAACGCGCGAAAGCCTCGGGATTCGCCGGCCTTCGTATTTCGGCCGAGATTCTATCGCACACGACAGTCGTTAATTATTCATTGATAATGTTCTCGCGTTGCGTTTTAACGATAAAACTGCATCTTGGCCAACATGCGCATTTTTTACTTCTTCATTTCTTGATAAGAATCTTTAGGAGAAACAGGGTAAAATGTCGAGTACATAAATCGATTTTATAAGTAATACTTTGGTTCTTTTGGAAGATTATAAGAGAGTGATCTAATATTTTTCGACTTTATTAATTTATTTTTTTCTTATTTACACGTTAATTTTTTTGAAAATGACGACGACGAATCTTTTGTTGCTATTATCTTTTTTCTTCGATTGATGTTAAAGTTGAATTTTTTCTGTGACAGTTTATTTTATTGTAATAAAGAACAGCTTCTCTCTCTTTGACGATAAGATGATTTAATCAATAATTAAGCAATTTGTTTGATCTATTCACAAAGATTTATAAGTGCGAAAATTTTTCCACGTAATCGTGCTGCTTCTTACTTTTTCATTTAGATCACATAGTCAATACAAAATTTTTATTACAAATACTTGGATAGATCAGATTATACACGTTATGCTAGTTAGAAAAGCTATAATTTTCCGGTTGCACTTGCGCTTGCGCCGAACGTGGCTCTTGCCGGCTCTCTCTGGAAAATGAGAACACCTCGCGTTGGATCGACAACCCTCGATTTCCCCGGGTCGCGAGATCTTGCGGAGGTGAAGGACGCAAGCACGCGCCGCGTATTCTCGTGCCCGTGACTATTTGAACGGGATCAGTTATGCTAGTTTGTATAAAACGGTAGAAAAAATCTTTGTAATCTCTTAGAGATACATTGTATTTCGGAATGTTTGTTCTCAACACAAGGAGAACTTTGAGAGTCTTCGATGTCAGTAAAACTTGGAGATTTATTAATTTATGCATCTAAAAATATCGCTTGAAATGAGAATAATCATCATTCTTGAATTCTTAATCTGTTATTTTATCTCGCTGACGTAAAAGACGTATTTTACATACGAGTGTATTTTTAATTCGTTGTTTATGCAAAATAAATGTTAATAGAAATTAAAATTAATTTTATTCAGATTTACAATCGGTTCTACATATTTTCATAAATGAAAAAATAAAAAGTTAGAACCGCTAAATACAGCAATTTTCTCCAAAAATAGCAAATATTTATATATAAAATTATTTCCTATCAACATATCAGTTTATTACTTTTGACGATATTAAAAAAAAATAGAATGTCTATTTTTCCAATAAAAATAAACGGCAAAAATCGGTAACTTATCTAGAATAGAAATGGCAAACGTGTCAACACTTTTCAGTCAATTATCGGTTTTCCGAGTATCTCGATATTACGTTGCAATAACTAGTTATACCGGTGTCGACCGATCGCTCGTCGTCGTCGTTGTGACGGCAATGTACGTCGCGGCTGACGTTTCTCTCGAGGAAAAGTCACGCTGACGAGAACTCGAATCCCGAGTTGAGTGAGAGAACTCGGGAGAGAGGTCGTGATAAAAATATCTACCCGCGCGGTACAGCCAAAATATTTTTAGCGAACCGATAATTATATTTTGTTTTTCTTTACTTAGTATGCGTCGATATACGTGCATGTGATAAGGCATCGATATATGTGCATGTGAACATTCATGAATTAACGTAGAATGATGTGATTATTTTAATCAAAGTTTTGAGCGTGAGCATTCTGTGTTATATCAATGACGAAACGACTCTTCTTTTCAATAACAACATGCTTTTTAATTAGAATTATCTTTTTCTCTATGCGCAGTGTTCATTTCTTAAGAAAGATGAGCGCGTGTTATTAATGCAGTGGAAGTTCCAATTTAATTGATTTATGCTACTCTCTCTCTCTTTCTCTCTCTCTCTTTCGCGATAAAATAGTGTCTTTTTTAATACGCGATACGAATTAATGTGCGTCTGGAAATAACTATTTATTTTCACTGGCGCGTTACGCTCAAAAGCGGCACACGTGCCAATTAGTGAGCGAGACGAGCCAAGCGACAATATAACAAACATATTTAAGTTGCAGGTTTCTAGTTCATCACTATCGTAAATATTTAAGATCTTTGACGATGTTTTTATGATGTTTAACGTTTTACACTTTCTTCACGAGCGTATGTAGATTTTTGCAATACTAGGCGTGCATAAGACCATACTGTGTGCTGCGTGCAAAGTCGACGCGGTTATCTATTACAGTCATTAAGAAGCCGCGGTAACTCTTGGATGACGTTTGCCTTCGGTATGCAGTCTGCTCGTTCTCGACTCGCGGAAAAACGTGAAACACTCACATGAAATGCAACGTTCTGTTTAATATTTGTGGTATCGCATGCGACAGATGGAATCGTCGCTAATTTAGCATCTCAATGTTTTCTTTATCAATATTTTTCTCGAGTATACACCTTTGCACGGTGAACTGACTGACGGTGGCATGTTTTACACGGTTTGATAACGCGGTTAAATAATTTCGTACGTTTTTTTTTTGCCAATTTGATCGAAAGTAAGGACAATATCGTGCAGAAAGAGACAGTGCACACTGTCGGGTTTCGTACATATGTCGAATTGAAATAAAGCATGCACAAGTTATTACATGTAGGATTCCCCGATGATAGGATTTAATAATTTATCTTATTGTAATCAGTTGTGACTGATCAATTTGATCGTTTGTGTTTCAGAGGTGGCAACGGTCTCGTCGGGAAGTGTCAAAGCTGGCGCGCGGGGCGGAGGAGTCAGCTGTGGTCTGGCTTTGGTTCCGGTGGTAACGGCGGAAGCGAAAGCAGGAGGCGAGGAGGCGGTGCCGGGAGAGGCTGGTGGTAGCTCCGACTTGGTTGGGAGGAGGCACGGACTTCACTCTTATCCTAATCTATCTTTTCTTTCACTTCTCACCCTGCCTTACGGGGGTGGTAAGCTCGGGAGCATCCGCCATCGGTTGTCAAAAAAGCCGCTGACGGCGTGACACCGACCCCGCGACTAACCCTTCCTCGCGCGAGAGATTAAACACCGCACGCAGGAGGCGCCGCTATCCGTCATCACCATAGGAATTACGTTCTGAATCCTCTCCGACGGGAGGAGGGAGCCCCCCCCCCATCAGCCCCCCTCGCACGCGCGACTTATCTCAGCCCCGCTAACGGGCACTCATAAGCTTCGTGCATCATCAACCAGAAACCATGAACGAACTCGACAGCCTTCGTCAGGAGGCGGAGACGCTGAAGAATGCTATTCGGGTAAGTACTCAAAAGTATTGCGTTAACCACTCGTCTCACTGCTTCGAGATTGGAATTACCATTTTTAACTGAAATTTTGAAAGAAATCTTATGACAAATTTTTCACGAATCTTGCTCTTGCTTGTCTCGAATTGCGTTTATTGAAACTTGTGATATTATTTGCGATTGCGACACGAATATCACACAGATGCATCGGAAATTGTACGATGCGACAACTTCATAATATTTAAGTGAGAAAATCTGATCTGATAGACTTAACTTCTATTGCGCCAGAATCTGCAATTTTTATGACTTTCTTCTGATCTTCATATTTAATGTTAATGCTGGTATCGTAAATCGCTGGTATGGTAAATTTTTACCGACGAAAGATTGCCGTCCATGGCGAATGGGCTTTCCGTATAGTGAGGATATAGAACTAGCTAGCGGTGGTAGTAGTGTGTGGTGGTGGTAGGGCGCGGCATAACCGTCGCTCCTCTGATCAATACGCCACCATCCCTCTTTCCCTCACTTCATGTCTTGTTTCTTCTCTCGATGTATTCGCCTCTCTTTCTTCTTTCCCTCCCTCCCCACCCCTTTTATAAATGCACGCGCTCGCACGGTGTGCGCGGAAATATGCGCTTACGATAAAAGGAATATGCTATCGGCCTTGTTTGCTAATTGTTCATGACGCGTGCGGTCTTTCTGCACCGTTATTTATTAAATAAAACCGCCAATGTGCGTTGCAATAATATTTACACCATGATTACTAAAATAGTTTTCTAATTAATAAAAAGTAATTGTATATTATTTATATTTAATATTGATTGATATTTTTCACTTTTATTACTGATTTTTTTTATCAGTAACATTTATTTACTCGAAACTTTATTGGAAAGTAAAAATTTCAACATTGATTTTACGGTAAGTTACGATTAAAATTTATTTATAGAAAACGAATTGCAAATTAGCACACGGTCTTATTTTAGAAATTATAATCATTATTAATAATGACCTTATATATATTTTTAATATACTCTGTATGTATATATACGTATATGAAGGTAAGGAGTTATATATTCAATATACACTATTAAGTCACTTTAAGTACTACTGCATTATGATCCGATCTTAAAGGTCAACTCAAAGACAGAATTGCAGCATAATATCGCATAATATCGAATAAAGGCACGCGAGCACCGTCGACAATTCCAACCGGAATCTTTTTCCTTGATCCGTAATTTCCTTTTCCTAATTCCCTGAAATTCATAGGAATTTTAGGATTTTGTTTAATTCAGCAACATACTTAGTCGTGAACATTGTTAGACCTTTCGCGTTTCGAATTTGTGTATTAATATAACATTAAATAAAATTTTTATACAAAATTTATTAAATTTTCACGATACTAAACAATTTAAATATATTTCTACTTTTTCTGCATTTTTTTCTTGTTCATTTAAAAGTATTACGATCATAAATATGTTTATGTAAAATCAGTATATTTCTTGAACGTGTATTAAATTTGGAATGCAAAATATATTGCGACAAATATATATTTATTACCGGCATTTTCTGATTAGAATGTTGATTAGAATACTTATTAGAATATTGCTTCGACATAAAATCTTAAAGCTCTAATTATTGCTGAATATACAGTACGGATAAACAGTACAGATAAGATTTCTTATCATATTTTTGCGCGACTAATGAATAATTGCATGCAATAAGACGGTCTTTTCCTTATCGCGTTTATTGCGAACATCACGCGTCTGTTAGAGATTAAATGCAAGAAATAGATATCGACGTAAGTTTACAAATTTGCATGTGATCTCATGCCGCAGGATGCCAGGAAAGCAGCATGCGACACGACCTTGGCCCAGGCCACATCGGGCATGGAACCTATCGGTCGCATACAAATGCGTACAAGACGTACGCTTCGCGGTCATTTAGCTAAGATTTATGCGATGCACTGGGGAAGTGACTCGAGGTATGACGTTAGATGTGCAGACATGATTAGATGACATACACATTAGTATCTGATGACATGTGCATTAATATTTCCTGACATACGCATTAATATCTGAAAATATTGGCCGTTTCAACGAAAATTAAATTTTGTCAGTTAATTGTTTGATGTGTGGAAGAGGATTCAAGAAAATATATTATAGATATTTACAGAGATTAATGAATGTTTGTCTTTTTTTTTGTTTTTTTTTTTTTAATTAACTGTGAAATTCGAAAATTATAGAAAGTTGTATTTTAAGGTAGAGGAAGTTTTCCATCTCGTTACAGAATTTTTACTAGCATATCTTCTGTTTCTCGTACATAGGAATCTAGTCTCCGCGTCGCAAGATGGCAAATTGATCGTTTGGGATAGTTATACCACCAATAAGGTTCACGCGATCCCATTGCGATCCTCATGGGTAATGACTTGTGCATACGCGCCCTCCGGTAGTTACGTAGCGTGCGGTGGGCTGGACAATATCTGTTCCATCTATAGTCTTAAAACTAGGGAAGGGAATGTCCGGGTGAGCAGGGAGCTTCCAGGACATACTGGCTATTTGTCCTGCTGTCGATTCTACGACGACAACCAAATCGTCACCAGCTCCGGCGACATGTCTTGGTAAATATTAATTGAAAATTTCAGAATTAGATGATTGAGAATTCTCATACGTGCGTGATAGAAAAATATCCTGAATCTATGAATCCAACATCCTGTAATCCCTCACATTCTATTTTTCTAAAATATAATAGTAGAATAATAAAATTTTTAATTAAAAAGTATTTAAAGTCTTAATACATAGAATAAAATTTAAATTGCATACTTTCATGTCTTTTTTACATTTTTTAATGCAAATGTAATATAATTTTCAAGTGCATTGTAGATAAAAAACTGAAAATTATTATGACGAATGAAATGAAAGTTTAATAAAAATGTATTGAAATCCTTAAAGTACCTCATTTCTCTCCACTCCTTATTCCAAATTCCTTTCACCGTGAAGTGCAATCCTCAAGACTCTTTCCTGAAGAATCCATTTATGAAGATTATCTACGTGGAGCGTATTAGAATGCCGAATTTCTGATCTAGTGCTCTATGGGACATCGAGACCGGTCAACAGTGCACCTCGTTCATCGGGCACACTGGCGACGTAATGTCCCTGTCGTTGGCGCCGGACACGCGCACTTTTGTGTCTGGTGCGTGCGACGCCAGTGCGAAGTTGTGGGACATTCGGGAGGGTTCTTGCAAGCAGACTTTCCCGGGCCACGAGAGTGACATAAATGCCGTCACGGTGAGATATAATTAACGAAAGCACTATTGTTTTTTTTTTTCAAAAGAGTTCATTATTTGACCATTTCGATGTATTATTTACAGTTCTTCCCGAATGGATACGCTTTCGCGACAGGCTCGGACGATGCGACCTGCAGACTCTTCGATATCAGGGCGGACCAGGAACTCGCGATGTACAGTCACGACAATATTATTTGCGGCATCACCAGCGTAGCTTTCAGCAAGAGCGGTAGATTATTGCTGGCGGGCTACGACGATTTCAACTGCAACGTCTGGGATTCCATGAAGACGGAGCGAGCTGGTAGGTTAATTAATCGGTATTTCGCGAGCAATATTCTCCTCAAGAGAGAGAAGAGAGATTTCGTTCGAGGCTCTTCTCTCATTTTTCTCTGAGTTTGCTATTTTCAACGACGTTAATACGGGATAACGTTGTTCTCATTGCCTTAAAAAAATGTTTGCTATTAATTCTATTTTGTAGGAATCCTCGCTGGGCATGATAATCGCGTGTCTTGCCTCGGCGTTACGGAAGACGGCATGGCGGTAGCGACGGGCTCCTGGGATTCGTTCCTACGCATTTGGAACTAACTTGGGGTTCCTCCCAAGACGTTTCTTCAAAGAACCAACTACAGTCAACCAGCTTACAGCATAAGAATCAAGTATCACCATTTGACCACCGAGCAAGTCGGCGTGCCAGCAGCCACGACGCTGGCGAATAAACCGCCAGGTTCACCGGAGTTGACGCTGATCAGAAACTTTGGATACCAGATTAACAGTAGTAGCGGCAGCAGTAGAAGCAACAACAACAATTACGACCGCAAGAAGATCTACGACAGCGGCGGCGATTTCAAGAACGTTTTGGATTGTGGTGGTAAAAAAGACTTTCGCGACAGGCGCATTGTAGTTGACTTGACCTGGCGACGCGGTAAAGTCGGCGACAAGGACCACGAATATCAACGCTTCTAGGAAGAATTGATTCGAGTAAGGTCGAATACGAAGATACATCGCGGTAAAAGAGCGCGCGACGAAGGGCGAGACGCAAGTACGAGCAAGGTCTTGACTGTCGTCAAGATTCCTCTGTGGCATTGAGCGCGCACTTTCTTTTTCTCCTCCCCTTTCTCAGGGACTTCGCGAATCTTTGAGAGGCACGTGCTGTTCTACACCTTGATAGTTCTTTTCCCACGAGGGTAGTCCCAGTCGAGGATTCCGAAGTTTGAAGGACGAACGACAATCTCGCGCCGACGATCGCGTCGAGAGATTTACAGCCCGAACCAAGATTTCAAGCGTTCACTGCCGAGGAGGCGCCGCCAATGGCTGCTCTGGCAGTTGGCTGCGAGTTGCTTTTCTCACGGCACGAGACGAGATTATATCGGGTAATATACGCGATTAAAATGTTGCGCCGCAATTCGGAAATGAAAGGACGAGCAGCCAAAGTTACGATAATCCCGCAATGATACCGTTCGAGTCACACGACGCACACTGAACGCACACGTGTATCGATAGAGATTCACGACGCGAATTTCGTACACCTGCACACGAAAACGAGTGAGCGAATAAAATGAAGGAGGAAAAGCGCGAACCGTTCACAAACAGCCTCGAGACACATACGAATCACACACATTCGTCACGCGAGCTTCGCCCTCGAACATCGAGGGGGAAAAAAAAAAAAGAGAGAGAGAGAGAGAGAGATGAGATCACTTTTCTTACCACGATAATACGCCGACTTTGCACCATTACAACTATTATACTATTATTACTACACGATCCCCTCGATTATTAATTTGGTAGATGTATCGTTATTTATTTTGTATAGACCTTCTGCCATAGGCCGCCCTGCGCCTGCGTTTTTGTGAATGCTAGAGTGACTGAGCGTGTTGTAAAAGAGCGAACGGAAACTATGAGAGCGTGCGAACGTGGGCGAAAGGCGCGCGGTCCATTGCCAATACAAAAAAAAAAAAGAAAACCGAGACACGAGACGCGCGGATAAAACGTGGACGTTGAATATCGTGTCGCTCCTTCAAGTAAATAATTCGCAATGCGGAATAATTTATCGAAACGTTGTTGGCTCACGTACGACGAGAATCGTAGGAAATATAAGGAGCGACGGATTAGAAACGGAAGAAATAGACCAAGTATCGAGTTTCGTCCGCAGTACGATAAAATTATGAGCGCGTGAAACGACGGGCCAGCGTAAAGTGTCAAGTACGTTTAATGTAATGTGTAATCGTTTAGTTTGTAGTGTCTATACCCTAACCCTGCTCCCGCCCTCTCTCCAATTACTCCTGATTATGGCAACGGCGAGAAGGAGAGAAAGAATTAATCTCCGACCGTCGTCTCGGTGGAGTCCCGTATCTCCTCCCATTATCGATTCAGCGCCAACCAAAAGGCGGGCACGTGCTCTCGATCGAAAGAGTCGTGCTGAAAGTTCCTTTGAAATAGGACCCAAAGAATCACGGGTTAAAGGAAAGGGCCACGAGACTAAACTTCTTCTCGTTCATTTTTTTTTTTACACCTACGTTTCCTCCCTCATCGCGTTTTCTTTGTCACGGCCTCTTTCGTAAACTCGTATTTGTACTTTTTCGATAGCTTTTAAGCTCTATATCCCTCCCTTTTTCACGCTTTCATTATTTTCCTCTCCTCCCCTTCTTTCCTCGTCTGTTCTGTCCTTTTTTTTGTCGGAAATAGATGTTGAAACTGTGTATGCATTTAAAATAATAATATTAATGATAATGATTATAATATTAATATTAACGATGATTGTAATTTATAATTATTAATATTTAATATATAAGTACCTAAGATCGATGGTTCTTCAATATCGCAGGATTATGGTCCAATCGCCTTCCGGCAACCACGCAGTCATTTTTTTATTTCTTTTTTGTAAGAAATTTTGTATAGTTATGTGAGTTGTAGTTAACTGCGTATTGTCGCGTTTTTGTTTTTATTCTCGAGGGGAAACGAACATTTCAATTCGACAGAAATTCCGTGCATATATAATATATTCTAATTTTTTAAATCGTATGAACGATTAAAATAAAAATAAAAATATGCAGTTTGTATATATAAGAGTCAGAAAAGTCGTTGTGTACCCTAATAGAAATTTTACGACGTATCGACTGCCAGCTGGCAGAAGCTCGGAGAATGTGAAGGAGAAAGGCGTGGATTCCGGAAAGCGACTATAAAAAAAATTTCTTTCCCAGCGAAACAAAGCATGTAATCTGGCTACAAAGCAAATGAGCACCAGTAAGATCTCCGAGGATTTTTAAGAAACAATATTCAAACCTCGAATATTTGACATTTCGCAAAATCGATTCTTTTTTTACACTTATATATAACTCTTCGACTAATCTCGCTTACATAATGCTTTATACTTATTAGATATCAAACGAGCAAAAGATCTTTCTCCGTCTCGAAAGAGGAGATCCTTGTTCCTTCGATTCTTTGTATTATTAAGAATTCTTCCAAAGTTCGATTCTCGTAACCGGACGCTATAAGTGAGAAACAAAAGTGAGATCAAAGCAATTGCTTTTCTTTTGTTTCAAACGTAACTTTACAGTGTCCGTGTGTGAAGAAGAATGATCTTAGAGCAGAGAATTACGAAGGAAGAGGAGACTTTAATTAGCAGACTAATGGAAACAGATCTGTGCTTTTTGCATTTCGCGATTCCGTGGCTTTACCAAGAGGACTTTTTTGTACCTTGAAGCCTGGAGCGATATAATTTTTCTTACTCTTGGTATAAATATGAAAAAAAAGTAGTTTTATCGACGGGTAATGCAAAATTTTGACAAATTATTAAGCCTCTAGTCATATTAACGGCAAACAAAAATGAAAGAAGAATAGCAGGTGAAACTTTGTAAGCGAAAAATTTTTTTTAATGTCTCCTTGTTCGCGTGAACAAGGTTGCGGAAGCCGGCTTTAACTCTTTGATTTGTTTTTCTTTTTTTAAAGTATGACAACACATACAATAGATTAATTGCGATGCAGAAGGAAAAATAACGGCGAGAAAACAACTCTGATGAAATCAACCTTTTTTTTCTTTTGAGCCTTTAAGAATACAAAGTGAATAAAAGTACTTGGAAAAAGAATCAAACGTGGCGTTTCCGTTATTTTTTTTACCGCTTCTTCGCTTTCTGTTTTCTCCCTCCGTAAAAATGCGTACATCTGCGTATTTTATAATTTTACTATCCCGATGTTTTCTTTGCATTTTGATTTTCGAATGTGCGAATCCTTTTTTTACTGAACACATTATTAATAAGATAAACTAGTGCCCTGTTAAAACGAGTGGTTCAAGGGATCATGGTGTTGGGTCCTATTTCAATTATGGAATAATCGTCATTAGCGTAGTTAAAAAAAAGAGGGGAAGGAGAAAAGAAAGGGAAGAAACGTGAAGAATGTGCCGACGACACTTTCGTGATTTGCTTTACGATGGACGACGAGAAGCCGTCAGGAATACTGCCTCTTTCAAGTTATGCACAAAAAAAAAAAAGAATAAATTACGATATGTAGTACGTGTATTATACATAAAATACACACTAAATAATGTGCAAACCACTGTTAAAATTAAAAAAAGAAATGCGCAAGAGGACGTGGCTGCGCAACACGCACGGAACAATTAAGACGTGGAGTGAAAAGTGCATCAATAATGATCGAGTGCGAAGTATATAGGTGAACATTAATCGGGAGGGAAATGTACATTCACTCGCAAAACTAAAAATTGAGAGTAAAACACGTCTTCACTGTTAAATGGTAGATAGTTACAAAGATTTCATCACTTTTTTATATATAAAAAAATATATATATATATATATATATATATATACGTATATATATATAAATAATGATAATTAATCACTATTGACGGTTAGCCTAGGTCATTCGTCTATAGTCACTTTGCCATACAGAGAATCCACGAGGTGCGTGAAAACTCGAAGAATTGATCTTCGTTAATTTGAGCTTTTTATATTTTCGGCCAAATTTTGCTGATAAACAGCGTTGAATAAATTACACTTGCTTTTTATGATACATTATTATTACAATACAATTGGACCTCGTGAATGTCCCTGTTGCGGAATTCATCGTCATTCGTATCATGTTAGGAAGAATTGTTTCGGATAAGTTTAAAATCCGTTCGGGGAATATAAAGAAAGACGGTCTTTATTTCGTCGTGTTGTAACAATGGCATAATTATTCCATTCGAATTATCGGGGCCGAATTTCAAAATTTTTCTTTAACCTATGTCTAGTCATTCCATTCCATCTAAATGTTTTAAATATAAAGATATCTTACGCACAATTACAATTATTTCTGCTGCAATGGCTGCTACGTCGGCTTTCAATATTGCATCATTTTACCTAAATTTTTACTGAAGAACTTATCGGAGTAACATGTCCGAAACATTCCGCAATAGAGAAGCTTACGCGAAAAATAATCCAGAAATGATTCTTTCAAGCACAGATATCATCTGCTCGCGTTTATTGTTCATTAAATAGATCGTCTAGATAGAAAACAGAGAGCGATATAGCCTGTTTTTTCAGTAACCGCGATTAAGAATACAGACTCGTATAATTAAGTATCATGACGTCGTCATCTTGGAGCATTATTAGTATCTATACTTCTCGTCGCGATTCTCAAAACGACGCGAAATAAAAATGCCGAATGGGGGCGATCGATTAATTACTTCATTTCGTGTGTGATTTGCATATGCGTGAACGAGACTGCATTACGTGAGAACCGCTTGGCTCTCTCTTCTGCGTGTTTTTCTCTGTGCATTTAAAACCTTGGGTATTGATAAAATATAAATTCGAATAAAATATGATAAAAAATTTCACTAAATTTGCAATAAATAAAAATGGCGAGAATTCTTCTTGATTATTATAAGAAAGTAAATGTTAATTATATTTATTTATTATTTGTTTTATTATAAATATTTTATTGTACATTTGAATGTGAAGCATCCACTAAATATGCTCAGAGAAACATTATCGCAAGCACGTGTCAAAAAAGACGACGAGCGTACAAGTCATATTTTGCATAGTGTTCGATAATAATATCTTTCGATTTCAATGTTGTATCTTAAGTCGTTATAGTTATTGACGAGTTTTTTTAAACACAGACACATACGTAAATATATTTAAATTGATATGAAAACGCGAAACAAAAAGAAGCGCGAATTCCAAGTAATCGCAATCGCAAACTGCGAATTTAAAACACGAGCTATTGTTACTTCACGTATAATACAGTAGCGTAAACTCAATTTCTTCATAGCGTTTCTCATTAATACACACGATTCTGCTAACGAGCCGAAATTCTAATAAGGAAACGGCATTTTTATGAACTTCATCACTAACATTATGGTTTTATAAGGTTTCCTTTAGGCGCGCCTTAAATCATCTGAACGATTTTTATGTCATTTTGTTATATACCTAGTGTTATAAAGGTCTGGTGCGTTCGATCTGCAATCATGAAGAAGAAAAATCGGTAAACTCATATTTTTATGCGATTTAACTTTTTCACGCTTCTTAACTCGTAATTAATATATATTGACATAATGATAAAACTCGTTTAAGATAAAATAATATTTTAACAAGTTGTTGATATCATAAGATAATGTCATTCGCGATGTTACTTTTTCTTTTATCAGAATATACCTTTGGATTAGAAAAAAATAAATTTTATTCGTGTACTCTTTTGAGATAAAGTTGATATTATTTTATTCGCTTTCTTTCAAGTTCCAGTTTTTCGCGACGTACGTTACAATGACAATCTTAATTACAAAATAATTATTGAAGTACAAAGTTTATGAGAAGTTATGAAAAACGCTTGTTAATCGCGCTGTTTTAAGAAATAAAAGTGCATCACTTTAGTTGTTAACTCATGACGAAGCTTCGTCCAAACCGGGAACAAAAGTACGAGAAGAAAGGAACGGCGAGAGAGGATTTATTTTTATTGCATCGAAGCAAAAGACTGACGCGTTTCTCTCAGTGTCAAAATGATTAAAAAACACGTCTTATAATAAAAACCAAGCTACAAATGAAAAAAAAAAAAAAGAGGAACGTGATAAATGTGACAAAGTTCTGTTGCTTCTACTTCGTGATTGCAAATTAGGGGGTAACCGGAATTAAGTCTGCTACCGTGTCGAGGACAATTGCTTCCTTTATAGAAGCATTTTTTCCCGAACGAATGCGTCGTTCGATTTTGATATCGACAAAACTGTACGTATTCGACGATGAAGTCGATGTGACCCTACGATAAGGGACAAAATGAAGAAACAAGGATGACAGACTTCCCAAATTTTTGGAAAGAAAAATTTAGTGCGTAAGATACTCTCTGTAACGTAAGCCATAAGTCGTAAGGTATAAGGGCTGTTAACGCATCAAAGAATCATTAATCGCGACAGAAACAACTACACAACTATGATCACGATAACGATAGTACGAGGAGATAAGCCCAAAGAGACATACAGGGTGTCGATGAAGCGCCGATCGATGAACGCGTCGAAATCGCGCATTCACAAAAGAAACTTGATCGATCGCCGCGAGATTTTGTCCCGATTTTCACATTCTTGATCGTCGATTGTTCTTGGTCGACACTCGGTAGGTTCTAAAGAATAACTTACAATTAGGGAACAAACGAGAGTGCGAGCGAGAGAGAGAGAGAGAGAGAGAGAGAGAAAGAGTGAGAGAGAAAGTGCACGAGAACAAAAGTACGTAAGAGAGTAAGTGTGTAAAAGAGAACAAAGATGCAAGAAATAAATAATAATAAAGATTTTGTTTTCTGCGTGCCTGTGCGAAGCAGCAAGGTGATATACGTGCATATTTATAAATCTATTACTATAAACGATCCTAGCGGGGTATGTAATCCGTAAGTTTGTTGAGACGAAGACGGGATACACGTTGGTACATCCCATACATATATAGATATGTTATAAATAAATAAAAAAAAAAAGAAGGGAATGAAGTGAAAAAGCGGGAAAGAGATAGAGAGAGAGAGACGAGAAAGTTGGACGACGTAGGGGGACAATTTCGTTACGCGCAGTGTGTATCACTCTATATAAATATATTATAATATCAAGAGCTTTTTGCCAAGTGATAAGTGATAGCTTCTGCGGGGATATGCGATCCACCTGGGATCTGTCCGGAGGCCACAGGCTGATAAGGGACGACGGTAAAAAGATAATATATTTAAACGTGACAGACTATCGTTTCTTTCGCGTGCGACCGATTATCATTGCGCATAATTACGGATTAATTATTATTACTATTATTAATTACGGCTCATCGACATCACCGCCATCGTCATTATTATGATTATTATTATTATTATATAATTGATGTGAGTGTGGACACAAAAATAAAGTGTACGTAGTAGAAGGTTGGTTTGTTCCACCACCTGTCTTTTTTTTTTTTGTTCGAAATTACGAAGTCTTCTCGATTTTAACATCGATCTTGAAATTACCACATTTATTTCAAATAGAAGAGCGAGAGGAAAATGAACATTCTGCGAACTTAAACTATAACGAACGCTTTATCATCTACAACATAATCTTCAATGGCGTAAAACTTCTTGCTTCCCTAAAAACAAAATAATGTTTGTTTCCGCCAGTTTTACAATTTGTTCGATCAACGTACGTTACGTAGATTGATTATGAGATTTTTGCTTTGAAAATAATCCAGTGAATCTATGATTTATTCTACTTCTGCTGCGCTACTTGCATCTCTATACTCTTTTTCATATTTCTCGTAGCAGTTTCATGTTTCTTGTTTGGTGAAACACATTTTTTTTCGCATTCTATATTTTCTAATGTATCTGAGGCTGAAAATATTTCGATTGTTGTTCCCTTTTTCAAATTAACTACATCTTCTTGATTAATATGCTTTTCAGGATCATCAGAAGTCTCATCAGAAGTCATCTCCTCGGATAATCTTTGGAAGGCAGCCTAAAGGTAATGTACAAAATAATATTATTTTGTATTTAGTTAAATGTCTATACTCGTATAATAAAAAAAAATTCTGTGAAGAAAATGGGGGCATGCGCAAAAAATAATTTTCTTACTATATACTAACTTCTGTTTGATGATAATCTGAAATATTTTGAAAACTATACGATTTTTTTTCAATTTGTCCCAAATTTTGCTCAGATTTCTTAGACGCAGCACTTGCAGAAATCACCTCAATAAATGGTTTGACTGATTTCTGTACTGATCGCTCAGTTGTTTGTAATAATTTATGGTCAGATAATTCTTCTTTTGATTCTTGATTATCCATTACGAGATTTGGCTTAATTAGCAATTTCTTTGTGCTTTCTAATTCGTGCAAATGATTGCAAAATTCTTTGTAAAGCGATACATCAGCATTCGCAGCCGGTGATTTTGATTTATAACTGCCTTCGGGCTGCCGTAAAAGATTGGCAAGTAATTGAATATCTAAAACAGATTAATATATTTCTCTAAATAACTTTTGTAATAAGTTTGGATTATATATATTTTTTTATATTTACATATTTATCTATATTCTTACCAGAAGCATTAGTTGATGTGATAGATTCCAAATCTATTGTTTGTTGCGCCATAAATTCTTGTTTTGCAGAATGTTCACTTGTCATATCGTTAGATTTGTTGCTGTATTTATTGCAATCATTATTTCGTTCTCCAGAATCGCCCGCAGGTGTATTAACATTCATTTTCGAAGTGAAATTGGATGGCAGATATTCTCCGAGACTTCTGCGATCATATTTACGATATTGCGATAATTCGTCTGTGTTTTCCGCGTTTTTCATCAGATTTGTTATGCATTTGTCAATTAACGGCGACGCTTTCTTCGTGAATTTTTTTGTCTCCTGTATCAGATGCTGTCTACATCTTTCGGAGATCTGACTGCGAGGTTTGCGTTCCTCCGACTTTCTTCCGGGATTCATTTCTTCGATGAGGAAAGATTTCTTGTTACTGACTTCGACATCTTCAGCTTCGCGTGTTCTTTTACCGATCAATCTTGAAGACAGACCCGTTCCTTCTAGAGACAAGCGATCCATCGTTTGGACGAGCGATTCGATCTGAGAATTCGATTTTTCGATTACAGCTGATAATTCTCGCTTGCTGTTTGACATTTCTATTTTAATAGAAGATTTTTTTACTTTATTATCGGTCTTTTTATCCTCGCAAATTATGTCATTCTGCTCTTCATCTAAAATTGTTTTCTTGCAACTTATTAGATCGTCAATGTTTTCATTTTTAATTAAATCGACAGTTTTATTACAATTATTTTTTTTATTCGAAAAAATAAAAATTTCTGGTGATTCTTGGTTATTTTCTAAAATTTGCAAATCTTCTTGGAGAGACGTTGCTGTCTTATAAGAGTCATCGTCGGATTCGTCAACGTTTTTCTTTTCTTCGGCAGATTCGTACAGAAGATTGTTAAACTTGTCTCCTAAAATTTCGAATTTTGCAGACTTGTCATCTGCTTCCACAATATTGTCGAATTGCTCGTCAAAATCAGAATCTATCACATTGATAATATTAGAAATACTTTTCTTTTCTGATTGTTCGGAAACCGACATCTTCTCGAGAGGTATTAAATCGTTAGAAATGATCGATTCACACATTTTTTGGACATTTTTCTGATATTTTAATTCGGTAAAGAGTTGGTCAGTCTCCACTTTATTTTCCGCTGCTCTGTCCTCTTGTTTTTTAATCTCCTTGACCTTCAGTTTTCTCTCCTTAGTACACGACCATCGCAATTTATCTTCCTTGTTCGCGGAAATCTCGCTCTCGGTTTCTTGGATCTGGCTATCATTAACGAAATCAGTTTGCAGATTCTCATCCACCATCTGTCTCCCGCTCCAGAATCCTTCCACCTCGCCGTTCTTGAATACTATCTTGTTTTCGTCAACAAACCTATTCATACTGTCGCAGAATTCTTTCATCTCTTCTCGAATGCTGCTAAGTTTAGAACCAAACGGATACTCTTTGCTTTTCTTTTGATAGCTGTTGATATTTTTCCTCGACACATTGTCTCTCACGCTGCTAACTGTATTTGTGGGTTTCTGAGTTTCTAACACTTGTCTTAGGTCCGATGTGTCACACGATATGGAACAAGTGTAAGATGCCTTCTCGTTTTTGCAACCTGCGAGAAACAATTTCAATTGCTAAGTTAAGATGAGCACAATTTTTTAGTTACAAATGATGTATAATTGTTTTTTCATAATCACGCTATTATTTCCAATTTGGCTGTTGATAAAATTTTAGCAAATAAAGATATCGTCAGAAAATGAATACCGTTTATTTTATTATTATCATCGATTGATTCTTGCGAATTTGCTTTTCTTTTTTCTATTGTCTCGTAATCGGCAATCTCGCTATCGTCAACACAATCATCGGGTGAATTGTGTACATTCTTATAGTTATCTGAAGTTAGTTTTTTAAGCGATTTTCTCTCCGCATTGTCGGGGATGTATTGCTCGGACTCCGATATTTCTTCGATCAGCATTCGCGGTTGAACTTCATTTCGGGTCTAAACACGAAGAATAGATGAACAATTTTTTATCCTCTCTTAAATTTCTATTCGTTTAAGAAAATAAGAATGGCGTACCTTGGCTTTCCAGGGCAGCAGAAGCTTTTCGTTGTTTTCATCGAAGACTTTTCTCTCTTCCTCCGCCATTGGCCTCTTGCCGTCACTTTCCTCGCCTCCTTTTTGCCGTGCGCGTTTGTTTTCTTCGTCGCTCGCGGGCTCGTCGTCCGACGACGACGAAGACGACGACGATGAGGCGTAGGAACCGAGGGAGGATCGCTCCTCGGACTTTTTCTTCCTCTCCAGGTGGAGCTTCATCGTGGCCGACATTACGGGTGCAGGAGACCGAGAGGTGTGGGGGTTTCATGTGGTGAATGATCAAATAGTCGACGGGACCGATGGGTGGTGATATTATTCGAAGCACGAATTCTGTACCAGACCTTGACGAAACTAGTTCTTACCAGTCCGCTGCTCCTCATTGCGGTGCGCGCGCCTGACTTTGTGGCGATTTCTTCGTCCTGTTTCGCCTCCTCCTCCTCCTCCTCCTTCTTCTTATCCGCCGCCTCCTTTTCGGACGTCTCGACCGGTTTGCGCAGCTTCCTTTTGTTTATCAGGGCTTTCGAGGGCGGACGCGACAGCCGGCAAGTAAACAAAAATGGAGATCCGTGCATAGAACAGGTGAAAGGAGTCAAAAGGGAGACCAAGGGCGGCCGTTTCGAGTAACCGACGAATCTTTTACTCACCCGTGACACTGTCGTTGATCCTCTTCTGCTCGGCCTGGATCCACCGATTCCTCTCGGCCATCTCTTCGTCCACGCCACCGCGCATCCTGGATGCAGAGATATTTTCGCGGTGAAACGAGATATTCGTTTGCCGATTATTTCATTGATTAATTTACCAGGCCTCGGCGCAGGCACGATCGCGCGGGAATACCGGCCGATCGTCCAGGTACTGGAGAGTCTTGCACTTCAGGATCATGGTCTTGCGGTACATCTTTATCTGCTTTAGCACCGGATTGCCAGTCAGCGTTACGACGCGCAACGACTTCATGTCTCCCAGAATCTAAACATAACTTTTGCTCGCACTTTCGATGGACGAAAGAAATCTCGGGTAGATTATAAAGATTTCGTAGCAATATACATTTGTATTCTTTTCCTAAAATAATTCTGTAGAATTTTTATATTTAATTTTCTGAAAAAAATTAAGTAAAAGCGTTGGAATCAAACTTTTTCTCTCAAGTTTTTTTAGTTAATGATTAAAACAATATTTTGATTTGGCAGAAAGTCTATAACAAATTTTTATCTACAACATCGCGCAGATTCGTTTCAGTAAAAACCATGTTGCTGCTGCGACATTATTTATCGTTTCGGAAATACGCTCCGATTATGTATGTTGCGCGCGCCGCGCGCAATTGACGACTTACGTCAACGATGTCGCAGGTGTCGATCCTGTTGTGCGAGATATCCAGGATTGAGAGCGCGTGCAGCAGACGAAGATGCTCGATGTCAGCGGTTTCTCGCAGATAGTTGTGCGACAGGTTCAGGTTGTTCAGGAACTTGAGGCTGCCTGAAAAGCAGAGGCACGTCAAGGTCAAGGTCATCTGGGATAATACTCGCGCTTCGACTCGAGTCACCGAGATTCTCGATCCTCCGTATCGTGTTGTGCGAGAGATTGAGGGTGTCGAGCTTCGTCAGGCAGTCAAGATTCTCGATCTTGTTGATGAGATTGTGATGTAGGTACAGGCACTTCAGTTCTCTCTGGTTTTCCAAATTGGCGATTTCGAGGATACCGTTGCTCTCCAACCATAGACACTTTAGGCCCGTATACTTTTCGAGGTTCTCAATGAAGGAAAATCCTGGAAGGACGTAAATCCTTCGTTCATATCGATACGATTAATACGCTCAAATAATGTACGTACCTTTATAATGCAAATACAAAACGTCGTTTAAATACGGAGTTTGATAGAGTTTGTGCTCCTTGCAGTGTTTTCTGATAAGCTCCTCCGTCATTCTAAAATTAATATTATTTATTAGTTTGATAATTAAAAATTGAAAAATTATTATTTTGAAGACTCACCTAACACCATGTTTTTTCTCATCGAAATCATAAACTTTCCCTTTGATATAAATCTCTTCCGGCTTCTTGAAATCATCAGAAAAGAAATCATCAAATTCCGAATCGATTTTAATCTCCGTTGTATCAGCTATTATTTCAGATATTTCATTTGAATCTTCATCATCTATCTTTTCTTCATCTGTGGATTCATTTTTGGTTTCTTCATAGATATCTTCGTCATTGCAATCCTGCGTTGATTTCAATTCCAGCGTCGCTTTCTGAATCTCTTCTAAATCCGTGGAAATGATTTTCTTATATTCATTCATTAGTTTCTTATGTTCTTCTATCTCATCTGTGAGCTTTTTCTCTAATTCTTCGATTTTTAATTTTTCACAAATTTCCGACTTTGTTAGAGGAGTCTCGTAATTTTCGAGATCACCTTGAAATTCATCAAGACTATCAGAATCGTCGGCGACATCCTTTAAAATTTTGAAATCACAAATATCGTCAGATACGCAAGAAACGTCGTGATCAGCGACGATCTTGTCGATCTCGTCGAATTTCTTCGACAGTGTTTCTAGCGATTCTTTCTTTCGATCTTCTATTTTTCTTTTTTCTTCAGCTATCTTTTCCAAAGTTTCCTGAATCTCGGTAAACGACTTGGGACGCTGTAAGCATGTGATTTTAATTAATTTATTTAAATTTTTTTCAACAATATCAGACTCCAATTCGACGATTCTCTCAGCTTCGATATTTGCGGAATTTATCTGAATATTATCATCTTCAATGAAATTTCTTTCTTTATCATTTACGGTTTCATGTTCTTCGTCATCTTTTACTTCTTCCGCAGATCTTTCTGGCGTATTATCTTTATCGTAAATTTCAGTTGTCTGATTAGCGCTTGTTTCCGTCGTGTCGCAATATGGATTATCAGTTAATATCTTTTTTGCTTCCTCGATAGTTTTTAATATATCCTCTTTAGATATAGCAGTCTCAGACGTGACACGACGCGGGAAAACTTCGTACGCTCGAGATTTTCTCATTTCGTATTCACTACTCGATTTTTTGAGATCCGAATTTTCGCGGATCAGTGAATGTTGTTGCAAATCTGCGGAAATGTTGGAACAGCTCTCGATAATTTTTTTCATCACATCATCGTGATCACTTTCCACTTTCGCGGATAAAGCTTCTATCATTTGTTCTTCTGCCAAATCATGTCGTCCGTCATCACACATGTCCGTTAAATCCGTCGTACTTATAAGATTCTCAAGTAGCTTATTCATCTCTTTTATTTCTGTAAGAGTTGTTTCTAAACTGTTTTCTTCAGCGCTTGCGGTATTCAATGTATACTCTGGATTCTCTTCGGTATATTTTAAAAGATCAATGTCATTTTTAAAATAATTTTTGTTTTTATTTATATAACAATCACTAGATTCTACTATTGAAATGGTTGTATTTTTTATATTTAATTTTGCTTGATAAGGATTTTTGATATCGATACACAATGCAAGTTCTTGTTCAAGCTCTTCTTCTTCATCTTTTATGTCTTTTTCGATATTTTTACATGTAGTATTATCGCTATTCTCGTCAATATGGCTATCAATGACTAGTCGCGCAATCTTGTCATTATTATCTTCTACATTTACACTACTCAACAAAGTCTTGGAATCAGCAGGTTTTTCTTTGTCATGCTTCATCTCATGTACTTTTCCTTGCAATTTAATTAAATCGTTTAAAAGATCCGTGCATTGATCATCTGCCAGAAACTCCTCCTGAATTGTCTTCTCACTGTCTTCGGAATCCTCTCCGCAGATTATTTCATTGTTGTATTCGAAATCCTTACACATGGAAATGACATCATTTGCTATACTGGAATTAAAATAAGATAGATGATTCAAATCGAACATTTGATCATAATTTAAAGAAACTGTTGGAGCATTGTCTTCATTGACGTCGTTTGTTGCTTCTATTTTTACACTTCCGCATAAATTTTCACAATTTTCCACTTTGAATTGCGTCTTTGCGATAGGATTTTCCTTAGAGTCTGGAACTTTGAACTCTGCTGAATAATCCTTGACAATCGTTGCAAAAATGAATTAATCAATTGATTTTATTTTTAAACGTATATACGAGCGATGTTCACGTCAAAACCGGAATTTAACAGTACGCAGTTACTGAAAGAAATTTTGATTTTGACGTGAACATCCTTTAAGATGTAAACATTTTGATCTTTAAAACCATATAATATACAAAAATATAAGCATACGAAAATTAAATTGAAGAACATGGAATATATAATTTTTTAAATATTATGTAACAAATAGAAAAAATTAATTTTATTTCTGTTTTTGTGTCTTATTTAATTGTATTATGGATTTTTATATATTATACGAGTTGAAAGATGAAAATATTTGTATCTTTTTTCTTTTGTATTACTCACCTTGTGCTCGGATTCAGAAGAAGTATAGCTAATGCTAGTAGAAGCTTGATTTTTATTCTCCGTTAAAGAACCGAGCGAGAGACCGTGTGGATCTTCCAACGCGTTGTTATCGGATTTTAACGTATTCATGATTGCGAATAGTTTTGCAATTCTCTACACTCTATATCAGAATCTATGAAAACATGGAACGTAAATTCTAGCTTGAATTGACGTGACTGATCACTGAAAACAAGAGCGCCATGGGCACCGATAGCTACCAGTTGTTTAATCGATACAGTCGACCACTTTCGCGCTCTTCAAGGCATTCGCGGCAGTTTGTACACATAAATATAAATGTAACACATGCAAATGTAAGAATTATTTTTCGATTTGCCGATTTTTAATCGGAAAAGAAGAGCGTTTTTGTACACACGCTGTCTGTGACAAGTAAGAAATGTAAAGATTGAATTTTTTAAACCTTGCGATTTGATCTGCATTTGCAATTCGCGTGTGCAATCTATCATCAGGTCAATCGTTTTCACGCTTTTCTCGCGGAGGAAACCGCATTGCATCGCATCTTAATGCGGTTGCGAGAAAACATTGTAGTAGATTGGAATAGATGATCGATCACGCGCGGCGGCAGTGCAAGCACAATGTTAGGCAGGGTGTCTCGTCCGCGATATCTATTCGTCAGCGATCTTCTTTCGCTTTGTTTTCGTTGCGTCTGGATGCACAACACACACGGGTGCCGCTTGTTTTTCCTCTCGGTTTCAGATGCTGTGCTCGCCCCTCGCCGTCGTCGTTGTCGTGCGACGAGCCGACGATGATGTTCGCGAATGATGCTATCACCATAATCCAGCGGAAAAGGCGCGTGGTGGCGATTCGCAAATGCCGCGCACTCTCGGGATGGCTACTGGGGATCGTGATAGCGGGAAATCGCGACGCACACACACGTGGCGAGAATCCTTCTTCGCCGCGCATAGATCCTCCTTTTTTATTTTCCCCTCCAAGACACGACGTACGGTCGTCTACTTTCCAGACGCGTCTTTCTACGCAGCATTTGCGACTCCACCGTGTCCCACGTCGCGATAATAAGAAATTCGGTTCTACATTTATATTCTGTATTTCATTTTCTTCCATGATTGTGTCTCGTGGAGAAACCTTCGTGAATGTACCGTTATCTGACTTCTACGAGTTTCCACCATTTTTGCTTGCAAACGCAGATCAAATCGCAAGATTAAAAATACAATTTTTATTATTTTTATTTTCTAAGCATGTGTACAAAATAACATACTTTTTTCGATTAAATGTTATCTGATAAATCGGAAAATAATGTTTATATTTCATAAATATTAATTTGAATAATGATATATATATATATATATATATATATATATATATATATCCTTATGTATATATTAATATTTATATATTTCAAAAACATAATCTTCTCCAAGTGCTAACATCTATTATCATAAAATAATTTCTTATTTGTAATAAAGCGATTGTTAACAATGTTGATGCAACCGTTTCAATTGCACCAACACAGTGTTGTAGCCGCAATTAATTAATTTTGATTAGCTATTTTTTTTTAAACTGGGTTACATCAATTACTTAACTAACCTTTCTAGATCATACTCTTTTCTGTAATATGTAAGCATTTGAAAAAATATGTCTTTAGATCTAGGTCGCACGATCATTGCTTTGGTCCAGTTACATGGTCTCGATGTTTCTCGATTGATCCTGTAATCGCAATCGGTACAATGACGCGCGACTTACGTCACAGTGGAACGCACTTTTTCGCGGCCCGGCTCGATAGTGAAAGGTCCGGTTTTGTTTGCAAAGCTTTCGCGTATTATTGCGTCAAGTGGGACTCGTGAGATCGGCAATTCGAATCGTTAGATAATCATGATGGAAAATTCTAGTTTTTGCTCTAATTACAAAGGACATACAATAGTCGGAGACAAAGCGATATCGATAATTCCTCGTGCCTGAAGAAAGTTTCTGTTGGTGACGCGTATGCGCAAGTTAATCCTGACACTATTATTTGCTGACACAGAAACGCAAAAACCCTACACGGAAGTTACACGTGTACTTGACATCGCGTAATATGATCTCTTCGACGGTATCGACGTGTGTCGCGCGAGAGTGATATTACGTTTTAGACACATAGCAATGTTTTGCAACGTTAATATTATTTAACCGATCAAATGGAAAGTTACTGCAATGTACGCAGAAGATAATCTAGTGTTAGTATACTGAAAATTAAACGCGCTGTTTTTTTCAATTGCTTTCTATCTTTAAGTACATTTATGACGTATATTTGAAACTCACAATATATTCGATTAAAAATTAAAAAAAATTATTAATCGATCTTTTTTTATACTTCTAAATTATTTTTGTGGTTGTAAATCTTTTCGATAAACTATTTGGAATTTTTTTAAAAATTTATCACGTATTATTACTGGCTAGTCTCTTATTTTACAAAAATCAAAAAATTCTTTGTTAATTAAAAGACTAAGATTGTATTTAATGGTTATGTCAAATCATCTCTTTACTTGATTTTTAAGAAGACAGTACATGCATATGAAATTAGATGGCCGATCTTCGATATGTCGATTTGCAGGACTTCGCCTTTTGCATTGTTAGTCCATGACTGTCAGCTAAAAATACACCCCGCAAATTGGTATCGTCTCCCGATCGAAGATCGTAAGGGACGATACTGATTTTTGGCACCGAACGAGCATTTTACTTCTTGCGAGACGTTTGATGACCGTGACCTCGAGGGGTCTCCATAGGACACGGTCGCGGGCATACGAGTGTACAGCGTGTATCAAATTTTGTAAAAGTGAGATTTTGAGATTACAAGCCAAGTAAATTGGACTTTAATTAAGATCTATAGAACATTAATTTCAAAATTTAATTGTTTTTTGTGTATACATTTTTTACGATAAATTTTTGTAAATTTCAGCGCAAAGAATCATTTTTTTTAAATAATTTTTTTTTTGAATTAGCAATATACGAATACTAACACTTGGGAAATAGTGAAGCTTCAGCTTAAAAATTTCACAGAAATTTATTAGTTTTGATTTAGAGCCATGTAGAAATCTAATAAGTATTTTTTTCTGGCATATTTACATTTTTATAGGTTTTTGTGACTTATCTCTTATATCGAAAAGAACTTATATCGTCGTCACATGACGCGCTCTTATACGACTGAGAATGCGATTTGAATGTATTATGTAATTGACGGCGGTGTTCGGCGCGGGAGCTTCTCCATGCCGGCTTTTTAAAAAGCAAAGTAGCGTGGGTGGCCATCTCCTTCTCTTTGCGAATGCAAGATCACACGCCGAGGGTGAAGGAGGCGGAATTGTATTTGAATACGCTTTGAATTGACGAACGGCCGTGAGTGTCTCGATGACACGAAATTCGTCGATTTAAAGATCGCCGAAGCGGGAAGATTCGCGGTCGAACTATTATAAAGTGTAATCGCTAGTGATCAGCTGATTATCGTCTGTTAACATAGTGGTTTCTCAATTTTCTCAAAAAGTTTTTCATATTTTTAGATGGCAGTCGATGATAATATGCAATCGACGCAATATTGGCACATTATACTTTACGAATGGCAAACATAATTCTATAAGGCATGTTATACATGCGTCTTATTCATTTTTCCAAAAAATATTTATTATTATTTATTTTATTATTTATTTAATCTCAACTACATAGTTGGGCACATTCTTTGCCATTGTGAGGATTTTTAGGATTATTCAAGAGATTGAAAATTTTGTTTTCTTGTCGAATTTTTTTCTTAGCAAGGTTCTTAACCCGTTAGAGTTCTTTGTAAGTTGTTAATTTTCAATTTTTTCAAGATCTTCAAAAAACTCACGAAGCAAAATGATCATTATCAAGTACAATTCGGTGTTCGATGGACCTAAGACAACGTGCCATTGTTGAACTTCAACTGCGGACCAACGAAACTTTTTACGAAAAGTTCGTGGACCAAGATGTTTTAATTTAATGAAAAATTTGATGGTTTCTTGAGAAGAATAAAATTTCTGACATCAGAAATTTAAAATAGATCTGTTTAATACAAAAAAATTTAAAAATAATTTATAAAAATAAAATACTGTACATAAATAATTGAAATAATGTAATGACTTATTCTCAATGGAATCAAAAATAGGAAAACTAATTGGTATTATTTTATTATCGAAAATTTGCATTGAAAAAACGTATTGATAAAAAAAATCTAAGCTGTAAAATCAAGATCAGAAGGATTTACTTAAATCCTACGTTGCGTTCGAATACTGAGTTTAGAATAGGACGATACAACTTCGTCGACATTCTATGCGTGACAGGAAAACGTGTCTGTACTGCAAGAAAAGCGTTTATTATCCCGATGCGATCAAGTATCGAGAGGGAACAAGGGAAGTCCGGAATCCGATGTTGTCGAAGAAGAAACCGAAGCTAGAAACGGGCATCGACTCAATGTCATCTGATGTCATCTTCGAACCTCAACGAGATTTAAATCGCGCATGTAAGCTGCCTCAATTTATAACGGACAACATAAAGTTGTGGATCTTTGTAGGTCATCAAGCAAGAAAAGACGTAAAAAACAGATATACGAAAAAGCAACTATATAATCCAGAATGAGATGAGTGTGCGAATTTTAACTCGTAAAATAAAAAAGAAATGTGCACAAGGCACTTGATTAAAAATTTCAAAGATTGGAAAAATCATTCTTATAATCACCATTGTCACTCATTACTGTGATTTTAATTTTATTATTATTATAACACGATATAAATGTTAATGCTGTCTCCGCAGGAGTAGCGTGAAACAAGAAAAACGCAAAGAGAATCTCTAACGCGGCATTACCGTTTGTTTTCACCGTAGTCGGCACGTGTAATACCTAATGTGAGACGAAGAAATGTTGCCGTCTGCAGACAGTTTTCTTAGAACGGTCTTGGAATATTCTTCTTTTCGACCAATATAGCCAAAATACATTTGTTTCTACAATTGAAGTATATTTTTGGAATATTGTTAAACAGATCAAATTTCAATTTTGTACCATTTTACTATTAATTTTTGGGCTATTTTAAAATCGAATTCCTCTTCACTCTATTGTGTTTGCAAAGTCACTTTTTTCACGGGAACGTGTCTTCACTTTGCACGACTAGACGTGTACCTAAGCCTCGTACAGAAGCCTTGTTAGTCGTGTTGTCGGCTGAGCTGTTTTTATAACTGAATATCAGCGAGTCTAACGCTGGAGCAGATCCATTCGGTTTCTCTAATGTGTACTTATGCAACCCCTCGCACGCCAGGGGGAGGGAACACGACAAAGCTCCACGGAAAATTCATAAATAATTGATAGACGGGACGTTG